TCCCAACCAGTGAGTAAGAGTCAAGACTGTTAAGTTCATATTACTGGGAAAGAAAGACATGGAGAGCAATGTAACCCCAACAGATGTTATACCCCCTACATTCTCTATTAAATAACTGGGTTTTTTTTTTGCTATGACTGTCCCCACCAAAGAGGTATCATGCAATTGTGAAATCCTGTCACTAGAAGTAGTTCTCTTCCCCCAGGAGGGGGCGCAGTAAAAATAACCTAACTGATATTCTATCCCTTTAGTTTGGAGTTAGGCGTTAAAGTGGTTCTAAACCTCTGATATGAGTTTTTAGCAAAGCATATGCCTCTATAGTGTGTGTGTGTCATTTCTGTCTGTTTCTCCATTAATTTGCTATCTGCATGAGCCACTTCTGACAAGAGGTAAAAAGGTGACAGGGGAGGGGGCTCCAGCACACAGCCTGTGATTGACAGCCTCAGCTCTGTTGCTATGTGAAGAGGGGTATGTCCCTTCTTTCCAATCAGTTCTTCTCACAGAGTTCTGCAGAGTGTAACTTCAGCTCCCCGCCCCCTACTTTCTGAAAGCTCAGACAAGCTGTATAAAATCTGCATTTTGAAGAGGAAAGTGGAGAGAGAGATGCAAATAAACAGGTACAACATATGTAGGAGGATTTGTTTAATCTCTGTGTATCACCTGAGGCCAGGCACTCACTAGGAATATGTAAGGGTCTACAAACTTTATGCCACCACCCTAATTAAATGACTGTAGCATGGGTATTTATCAAGAGTACAGTCCCCACATACTGCAGCAGTGCCCCTGCACCCCCATCCCCGATAAGGGTGTCAGATGTGCCTTTTTAGGTGAGTGTACTATGTAATTCTGCATCCTATGTTCATGTGGATACAAATATACAAAAAACATGCATCCATATTTGGATTTGATCCATGAAAATCAGCAATTTTAACCCCTTGTTGCCGCCTGTACACATATGTGCGGCTTCTCTTAAGTGGGTCTTCTTCCATGGGGTGGCATTAATGCGTACATGTGTTTGTGCTGGGAGCTCTCACCAAGAGATCCGGGCCTTGTACTAACAATCAGGAACTAGAAGGCCCGGTTCCCGATCCCATGATTGCTGTTATGGCCTCTGAATGGCTATCATAGTGATCAATCACTGTACAGCCTGACTCCTCTGAATGGAGAGAAAGATACATTAGGGTTGATTTACTAAAAGCGGAGAGTGCAAAATCTGGTGCTGCTGTGCATGGTAGCCAATCACCTTCTAACGTCAACGAAGCTTTTACAAAAAAACCTGGAAGCTGTTTGGTTTCTATACAGGGCTGCGATTTTGCACTCTCCAGTTTTATAAATCAACCTCATTGTATCCTTTTCTCCTTGTTCAAGAAGAAAATCGTAAACAAAAACAGGTGTGTAAAAAAAAAAAAAAAAAAATAGTAGTAATAAAAAATAAAGATAAAATAGCTAGAGCAGGGTTTAACCTAGGTAAGTGTCAGTGTTAGGATCAAGGTCGGGGTAAAAGGTTAAGGTCAGAGTCAAAGGTCAGGGGTCAAAAACAATGTATTTTAGGTAGGATTTAAAAATGCATTTTCAAAATTAGTATCAGTGTCAGTGTGTTTTTGGTATGGTAGGGCTTCATAGTAGTATGCTGCTGCCTTACCTTTATCTGTTATGAAAGTCAAATCTTAGTCCTGCTTGATAATACAGCTATGGCCATACTTTTGGATCCCTGCTGACATCACGGTGTCATGTCTTCGTCCCCCTACTCAGTCATTCATAAATTGTTGGTCATGCATTTTGTGGGTGGGGGAGGCAGAGACACAACACCAGTGTTAATGGATCATGGATACAGATCAGTGATGCCAGGACCAAGCAGGGATAACTTTTTTAAAAGTAAGGTATAGCATACTACTATGAAGCTGAGATAAAAACCTCCTCAATCTCATTCTAATTAAGCTGTTGTGAGTTGGTTTTTAAAGTAATTTTTGATATAGCTGACATTTTTTTGTTCATATACTAAACAGAGAAATCTGTAGATTAGCCACTAGAGTTGTCGAGGTAAGATATTAGCCACTCGGGGAGTGCATTGTTTTTAATTAGTACGGATCCCAGACTTGCATTGTGAGATGGAGCAGTAAAGAACATCCATTGTGTAGCCTTGCAATGCAGGAGGCAGAAAAAAAAAAAAAAAAAAAAAATATATATATATATATATATATATACCATGCAAACCTAGCCATCCCCCTTTACATATCTAATGACACATTATACAAAGAAACAAAGCTTTTAAAAACCGTAGCAAATATTGGTATGGTTAAAGGAGAAGTATAGCCAAAGCTATTTTGGCCTTACTTCTGGAGATCAGTTTGTTCTGCACTCATGTGACCCGTTTTCAGCTGACAACAGGCTAAAGCCCACTGCCGGATGGCGTCACACAGCTGGTCCAGGCTCTGAAAAAATTCCGACCACATGGTCGGGATCCACCCAGAAGCCTGGACCGGCAGCTGGCTCATTCTCTTAGCGAGCCTCTGAGAGCCTGAGCCAGCCACCCTCAACCCCTCCACAGCCCGGCGCTATAGTGAGAGCTGGAGGGGCAGAGCAGAGAGTCGGAGACTGACACTCTCTGTCTCCCTGAATGCTGAAAGCTGAGGTTGGAGCGATCAGCGGTCTTTGATCACCCAGTTCTCAGTCTTGGAAACGATGGGGGACAGATAGGTGAGTAAACATTTTTTTTTGGTAATCACATACTTGTTTGATCTATCTAGAAAAACTATGATACATTACCCTAAGTCCTCATGCACACTGGGTGTTTTAAAAATGCGTTCGCTGTATAAATTGTGCGAAAAAATGTTTTTCAGCATTTTTTAACATTTTTTGCATTAGCGTTTAGCTGCGTTTGTGCTTTTTAGCGTTCTACCGTATACCAGCGTTAGTGTCTTTTTTACAGCTACAAAACTCCTCTGGAAACCCACTAGTTCTGGGTTTTTTTCAGCCTAAAAACGTTCCTGCCATAAAACGCTGATTAAAGCCTATGTGTGCATGGGCAAATAGGATAACATTCTGGGGAGTTTACTGGCTATAGAAAAAATGCCAAAAGCCGAAAACAGCAGCTGTAAAAACGTCCAGTGTGCATCAGGCCTAAAAGGTACTCACAGAATTTCTTAAATTCTGCTATTTTTTTTTAAATTAATAAAAGAATCCCTGGGAACTTTATGCCATAATATGTTAGTATGCGCCACATATTAGCGCATTATATCAGATATATCTGTCAAACAATGCCTTTCAGTACTGTGCTGTCAGCATTTTTTGCGTTACAGGTGCTAACATCTTCTCCTGGTGCTCTTTGTGGTTTTGGTCCGTTAAGCCGCTTGAATGGCTGGGCTGCAATGACATCACTCCCACACATGTGCACGGGAGTTACATCATCATAGTACAGAGGGGGTGCTGTAAATGTATGCTAAATGTACGCTGAGCTGCGCATATGTACATATCTGCTGACCGCCCCTGAGAAGCATTTACGACAGAAGAGACCAATAGGGTCCCTTCTGTCATAAAAACAGTTAGAATTTCACAGGAATCAGCTGAAACTCTTAACAGTGTATGGCCAGCTTTATCAAAACAAAAACTAATACGAAAAGGTTTCTTCCCAGTAAGAGCTGTGAAATGTGGAATAGACTCCCTCAAGAGTTGGTCTGGCCAGCTCAGTGGACTGCTTTAAAAAAGGCCTGGATTCTTTCTTGGATACACAGAATATAACTGGATACTAACATGTATAGGTATAGTTGATCCAGGGAATATCCGATTGCCTCTTGGGGGATCAGGAAAGAATTTTTTCCCCTGCAGGAGCAAAATGGATTATGCTTTGCTGGGTTTTTTTGCCTTCCTCTGGATCAACTCTGAGTATAGGATTATAACTTTTTTTTTGTGTTGAACTGGATGGACTTTTGTTTTTTTCTGCCAGACTAGCTATGTAACTAACTTATACTGCAGTATAACCATTGCTTTCATACCAATATTGCCTGAACTATTCACATGTCCGTTTACCAGATAAATCTTTACGTGTCCAGGCAACTCTGCACCCTTTGAGCTTCTTGGCACCATAGCAGTTGCAAGGACAACTCTTGTTATCGGTCTCTTCTTGTTTGCTCTTACACTACAATTCTGGCCTAGAATGAATAGATCAAGCTCTTTTCTAGCTGTAGAATGGGTTTAAAGATGATGTGAAGTTGAAGTAATGATACCGGCAATCTCAACCGCCATCTCAGCGTGTTACATTTCATTGACAATGAAGATGGCCATAATTATGCTTGTAATGTGTTCAATTGAAAAGCAATAGCTGAGAAGAGAATCATTTCATATTATGCGAAAACAACCCTCTATTAGTCTGACTGTTTGAGACATATTGTATAGTCTGTGTGATTCACTGTAATGGAGTGACACTTCACAAGATCTTGGCATGAGGACAAAACATGGTTGTTAATTTAAAAGACCATTCCAAAAGTCTTGTATTCTGTACAGTAGGTGAATATGCCATCCAGCCAGATGTTTAGGCTGGATGAGTCAAGTCATTTTCAGATGTGAAGACTGAATGGAGAGAATCTGCAATGTGGAGGCGACAGGGAGATACAGGGAGAGCACAAATGAAGCAACACAATTATAAGACTGAAGTGAGGAACGGCAAAGACTCCTTTTGTAATCAGTGATAATATAACTCTACATTATGAATGGATCACACTCTGGGAAAGGGGACACACAATTAGATTTAGGGCTTCAACACTCTTCTCTATGTTACCAAAGAAAGCACCAATGTCATGTCACTGCTCACTGTCACTTCTAACATAATGGAGTGCACACCACCGAGCAAGGCGTATATTATACACATATTCCTTGTATCTTCACAATTAATGAGGAAAGGGTGCAGCTAACCGTATTAACACAATAACGCCATGTAGGGGGACAGGCTGTCAGGGCTCCGGGAATGACCAGAGGTGTGTGGACCGACACAGGGAAACACAGACTTCAGGTATAGCGTGTAAACAAGATAATTTATTAAGGACAACACAAACATAAACGCAGTGCAACAAACCAAACCCAAAACTAACACAAATACAACAAGGTGAAACAAACCCAAACCTAAACTGATATATATATATATATATATATATATATATATATATGGAGCACAACGTAGTCAGACGGGCCGGGTCGGTAGCTAATGGGCAAACAGGGTACCAGGAGCGAGCGGAAGAGTGGTCAGGAATAGCCGAGGTCAGGACAGGCGGAATTCGTTCAGAGTCAGGATCAAGGCAGGGATCAGGCAGGATGCCGGTACAGGGGCTCATGGGAAACATACACCAAGGCACTGATCACAGGCCTGGTCCTGCTTAAATACACCTCCTGCAATCAGCCTCAGGTGATGGCCTGATTGCAGGAGTGAGATTCTGGCTGCTGAGAGCACCCGCTGCCCAGCCTTGGTACTGCAGCCCACAAGGCAGGTGAGTCCCACCACCATTGGCGAGTCCATAACTGGTATAGGCAACGAAGGAGACAGGGACACCCAGGAACTGTTCAAGCAGGTTTGTCCCGCACTTTTATTCAGAAAGGCATAAAGCACAATTATGAATCAGGAGGGCTTTGAATAGCAAGTACACAGTGAAGAAAAAAACAAAAACATTTGTTTATCTAAGCTAGAGGTGATTGTAGCCGTATTAGTGCATTTGCGACAGGAACAATTGAGTACTGTCCGTGATTTTTTTTTTATTTGCACTAACATACAATTTTGAGGACAAGCTTTCGGGGAATGTCCCCTTCTTCAGGTCTAAGCAGTACAGTACAGTACTACTTAGACCTGAAGAAGGGGACATTCCCCAAAAGCTTGTCCTCAAAATTGTATGTTAGTGCAAATAAGAAAAGTATCCCAGACAGTACTCAATTGTTCCTTTATCTAAGCTACTAACTAAATTAATCCTGACAGGGTGCCCCTAATTACCGTAGTTGCCCAAAACAAACAGGAAGCTCTTTTTAGTGTTCTGTCAGAAGCCAACCCTTTTATCCAGCAGCAGGCTCTCACAGCAGAAGGAGAAAGCCCTGAGACTGGGTTCAAACGCATGCAGTGCTGTAGATCGCATGTGATTCGCACAGGAACCTCACCGCATACCTGTGCGAATCACATGCAAATTGTGAGCGGTGCGATTTGAGCCATACATTCTGTATGGCTCAAATCGCACCGCATCCGCACCAAAAAGGTGAAGGGCCCTTTTTTGGGTCCGTACTAGAATCAGATTGCATGGGTTTTCACACCTTTGAGATCCAATTCTGCACATGGCACTGCGTTTTGCGGACCGATTTCGGGCTGTTGTTAACTTAACATACACACCCGCAGCGGTTCGCATGAATGGGGTGCGATTCTGATGCTGTGTGGAATTCACACAGAAAACGCTGCAAATTTCGGACCACATCAGTGTGAACCCAGGATGAGTGTCCGTATATAAGGTCTGTGGACAGCTGAGACCAATAACAAGGTCTGGCTGCCAGGTATGATGTTGATCTAGGGATGGAGGCTATATCCCACTCAAGGCCCTACAAAGCCTCCAGGCTCCAGGACCCAAAGCAGGGCTTGTTAAGATTTGACACATATCCTGGAGCCCCTCACCATGTGTTTATGAGAAACCTAGGTAACACCAAGGCTTTTCGCAGCTGGAATTTGGTAGAACTCAGTTCTACCACCTCTGGCTCAGGCCTTTCTGTGTTCACAAGTGACAGCTTGTCTCCCAGAGATTCCCACAGATCTAATCTCCTGAGCAGCTCCCACTGAGTGCAGAATGGAGAAAAGGGAGATGTAGGATCCTGGGGGATGCAGTGTGGATGCTGACACCCCACTTGATGATTTCCCACCCACGATTTGATGGGGGGGGGGGGTGGGGGGGGGGGGGGGGGGAGGGGGGGGGTTGTGGTTCTACCAGTGAATGCCTTACAGTCAATATATATAAATGTAGCGCCCTTTTAGATAGATGCTAGTATTTTGTACAGTTAGGATAAGCATAGCTGTGTTTCTCTGCTTAACAAAAAAGCTGTTAGGTAAATTCATACCTCCCAACCACCCCCGATTCCACAGGACCATCCTGGGCTATAAAGTAAGTCCTAGGGTTCCGCAGATCTGAGCTGTAGTCCTGGTGCCCACTGCCAAAACAAGTTCCAACATTGGGTTCCACTCAGTGGGATGTCCTCAATGAATGCAATGTGTACTCTCACATACTGCACACAGTGAGGATTCCTGCATGCCTGTATTCTCCACTTCTCCCCCTCCACTTCAATCTATTTCTCAGTCATTGGTTTCTAGGATTGCAGGCATCCTAGCAATCGATGATGAGCTTTTCAGGTGCCAAAGTTGGGAGGAAACTACTCTCGTGCTAACTTCATGACCTTCCAGCTCTGCCGCCCGACTCTGGCTCCTGCTTACTGTCTCCTTTAACACTTTAAATGTTTTATATGAATAAATAAATCATCAATTAAATGATCATTTTAATCACCCCTGCCAGTGGCAAATGGATGGTCTTATCCATGTTAACTGATACATTCTGCTGGACAGCTTGAACATCTGAAAAACAGCAGACTTGCTAGCTGAATCACCAGATGAAAATAGAAGAAAGAAAGTCAAAAAGAAAACTAATACAGCCATCACATCTAATAATTGGTATGCTGCAATATAATAAATGTTTGATTTTGGATTTAATACTGCTGTCATTGAAAATTGAATAAAAAAAATAGCAAAAAAAAGACAATTGACTATGATGAACACATTCACACCAAGAGCACAAACACTTTCAGATGGCACTCTATGACCCCTTAAAATGAACCTGTCCTTTGGCCATCAATGGAAAAGCAACCTTACCTTCAATCCTCTCTTTGACTACTGAGAGCAGAGAATAGTACCCAATGGTTCATGTATCAGGAGCATACGGCTCGTTCCCCTTCCTCCAACATGACAGCACCTGGTAGAGGTGAGCTTGGGCATCCTCCAAATGCATCTGTAGTTCACCCCCTGAACTCACCCTCCTATTTTACTCCAATGAGCTGTGGGCTGGGTCATTCCTGCAGGGCACCTCCTTGTTTCCGTGAGCTGCGGCGCAGGAATGACCAAGTCTGCAGCTCATTGGAGTAAAAAGAGAGCTCAAGTTCAGGATCTGCATCTGCACACATATAGTATAGCCTGTGACATTACAGCATGTAAGCAGGATGAGAAGGACAGGGTGATAAGGGCAATGACAACCTGAGTTTTAAACTCCTATATAAAGACACAAATCTGACAACTCAGACTCTGTATCACTGTATTACTATAGAAACACACCGTCAGCTGTTAATAGGTGTCAAATTTATTGAGTTTAGGAGTAACTCCACTTTCATAAAATAAAATGATGCATGCAATTCTTAAATTTTCTAAGTTATTGTTAAAGGATATATCTTTCATTTTCACATTCCTTGCCTGCACCCCCCAAGTTCCACAGGTCCATAATTGTCTCTGATGAATTGTGCCAAGGTAAGGTCACAATCTATTATTTCTCTCTCTTATCAACTCCTTATGCATGCTCTCAGAAGGACTCAGTGGGGTTTACTTACTAAAACTGGAGAGTTTAAAATCTGGTGCGACTGTGGATGGTAGCCAATCAGCTTCTAATTTCAAATTGTTCAATTAAACTTTGACAATTGGAAGTTGATTCATTTCTATGCCACATCAGATTTTGCTCTCCCCAGTATTAGTAAATCAACCCCAATATGTCTTTATAAATGGGAGAGAAACCTACAGATAACATTTTCTAAGGTGCAAAATGAAAGAATTAAGCTTTTGGCCTCCATCCAACAAATACCGGAAAATCGCTTGTAAAATCATAACTCACTAATACAGGACTCCATAAGTCCTTACCAAAGTTTTCCCGCAACAGCAAGACCTATGCTGGTTCTCCAAGACACATAAAGGAACATTGCTGCATATCTTTTGGAAGTGCCCTGCACTTTGCACTTTCTAGCAGCAAGTTACTCGTATCACAGCACAACTAACAGGGGGCCTTCTGTCTGAAAATCCAACAGCAGTCCTGAATCTGGGAAAAGTTACAAAAAAATCTTTATTAATTCACTTTCTAAACACAGCCAGGGCATGTGTTCCTAGCAAATTGAAACAGACGAGTCCACTAACATTAAGTCTTGGTTCACACTACTGCGACCTGAAAGTCGTACAACTTACAGTGCAACTTTGCCAGGCGACTTGAGTACTACTTTGAAGTGACTTTGAAGCACCTCTAAAGCAACTGTGAAGCACCTTTCAGGGAATGCCTGGATAATCTTCCTGTAATGTCGGATTAAAATCACATCAATATAGATGAGGATCCGACCTGGAGGAAACTTCCATTAAAGTCTATAGGCACAAGTCGGATAAAAGTCATCTTGAAGTAGTACAGGAGTGTTTTATAAAGTCGGAACAACTTCAGTAGTGCTCATTAAGACAGCTCTCTTTGACTAACATGGGATTTCACATGTCATGAGACTTGGGGTCTCACATGTCGGATCCCAAGTGGACGCAGTGTGAACCAAGCCTAAGTCCATGGTTTGCCAGAGTAAGTATTATAGAAAACATGGAAAATCTCACTTCAGTTCTTCAGACACATGACAGAGGAACTTACAAAGAGATGGTTTTACTGGGAACAGTTTTGGTTTTCTACTGAATACCTAGGATATACTTGAAAGGAAAAAAAGGCTGGAAACTCATGGAAGTTGCACCGCCCTGGGAAATAACCTTTCCCATTCCCCCTTTTTTTTCTCTTTTATCCTTCCTACCACTAGGGTCCAATCTCACTCCTTATAGTTAAAATTGCTAGTTCTCTTCTGAACTCACTATCATGTTATTCAATGGGGTTGATTTACTAAAACTGTAGAGCGCAAAATCTGGTGCAGCTGAGCATAGTAGCCAATCAGCTACTAACTTCAGCTTGTTCAATTATTCTTTGATAAAAAGAATCTGATAGCTTTCTATGCAGAGCTGCACCAGAATTTGCACTCTACAGTTTTAATAAGTCACCCCCAATGTTCCCTTTTGGGCAAAGAGCTTTATTAGCCGCTTGACATTCAGACTTATGGTTTATTTATTGGCTGTCCATTCAAACATCCATATAACATTGTATGTTATTAACTAACATTTTTTGGTCTAGGTTCACAAAAAAATATCCAGTTTCACTGTATGTTGTGGTGATTCTAATAAATAAAGAATTAAAAGGGATATAAGTTTCCATTCCAAGCCACAGCCAGCTATAATTGTGATTTCCTGCTTATTTGGCCATGTCTTGGATTGATTATGTGATTACAGAAGGAAACCCTCCCTGTCAGCACTCAGA